GAATAGGGGTATTGCTTTACTAAGTTTTTTCAGGATCCATTGGGATTTTTTTCTTTTCTAATCTGACAATATTGAGAAATATAGCAACAAATTTCCTAATTTTTAACCATCTTCACATTTCTGGGATAAACCTTACTTGCTCCTAATGTGTTAAACTGATAATTGAATGTTGATTATATAATATTGAGATTAAGTGAATTTAGCCAAAATTTCTAATATACATTAAATTTTAGTTAAAATTTCTAATATAACTTGGTATTTAACGCAGCTTATCATTCAATTTGCTCAAGTATATTTCTACCCGATAATAGATAATATGGTACTTTTAGTGTAACATTTTATATCTGCATTCCAGCAGAATTGTATTATTTTACTTACTCAAACTATTTTCTTTTATTAGCAGATATTAACTGTTCAATGTTTTATATTGCTTTTTATGCAAATTTTGCCTTTAAATTTGTGTGTGTGTGCATATGTGCATGTATGCACACACATGTGCACACACACACACACACACACACACCCGTATGTAACACAGGGGATAGAATCCATCAGCCTCACATATGCCAGGCAAGTGCTTTACCACTGAGCTACATCCCCAGCTCTTTTTATTTTATTTTGAGATAGGGTTTTGTTAGGTGTCATCTCCGGCCTCCAACTTATGATCCTTTTACATCAGCTTCCCCAGTAGCTGGGATTATAGGTATGTATGACCACTCCCAGCTGCTATTTATTTTTTATTAATGATGTTTTGAGGAAAAGTTATTTAGCTGGACTGTCATAAATTGTAGAGTCAGACTAAAAGATACATAGGAACAATAGAATTTACCATGTTTTTTTTTTATTTTGGTGCTATACCTTTCTCTAGGTCTTTACTGGTAGACTCAATAGAAATTGGTTAGAAATTTGGCCAATTATCAGCCCATAATTTTATAGTTACTCATTATCTCTTAGCCTTTATTGTGTCATCTATAATAATATCACTGATGGCTGGGCTAATAGACCCTCAAGAACAGATTAGCACTTTGATAACCTGTATAAATTTTCAGAAAGGCAAAAGTAAATTATACACAGCCATTAGTGGAATACAGAAAACAGATTTCATTTGTACCATCTGTCAGATCTTCATGGACCCTCACATTTCTGTCTCCTAAGTCCAGTGGGTAAATGATTGAGCCATGTAATTTCAAAAATATATGACAGTAGGGCTAGGACTGAGGCTCAGCGATAGTGCACTTGCCTGGCATGTGTGAGGCACTGGGTTCGATTCTCAGCACCACATATAAATAAATAAATAAAATAAAGATTTATCAACAATTTATATATATTTATAACAGGCTATTGGCAGACTGTTGTAGAAGTATGGTGTAGAAAGCAAATGAAAACCTTGATAGAGCTGGGCGCCATGATCCATGTCTATAGTTTCAGCTACTCAGGAGGCTGAGGCAGAAAGATTGTTTTGAGCCCAGGAATTCCTTGCCAGTCTGGGTAACATCATGACACTTTGAAAACCGAAAAGAAAGAAGAGCATGAGGAAAAGGAAGAGGAAGAAGTAGAAGGAGGAGAAGGATCATCAGCAGAAGCAGCAGTTTGATCAGCATCTGTGGCTCTAGAATTTCATCAGTACATAGTCCTGTCTTATAATACCTGCTTTAACCCATCTTGAAACTGCAGGGGAGGGTGTCTTTTGCCATCATCAACTGTTATTATTTTGAAAATAAAGAGCAGAAAATCACTTCCAAGCCTTTGACACTTCTATTGCATCCTATCACACATATACTTCCTTGTGGGTTGTTATGAAGCATAAGTAATCCAGGTGCAGTGATGCACACCTGTAATCCCAGTGCCTGGGGAGCTTGGGGTAGGAGGATCACAGTGTGACAATTTAGTGAGGCCCTATCTCAAAAAATAAGGCAAAATATGGAAAGGGCTAAGGATGTAGCTTAGTAGAATAGTGCCCCTGGGTTCAAAACCCAGTATCAAAAAAAAAAATAATAAATAAAATAAAGGCTTAAATAAGACAAAGTATATGATACTATCTAGTGTAGTCCCTGCTGCATTTCTTTGGTTTTGTAAATATGAGTACTATGCTAAGCAGGAGATAACAAGGTTTTCAAGGACACTTGCCTGAAACATGATGGTAAAGGCAGATAAATCACAATGCAGGGTGATAGTTGCCAGAGAGTTATGGCAACCTACAAGGTAAGCTCTGAACTCAAGACAGTATAGAGTCCACTGAGCTGTTTAGCTCCATCCGGAGGTGCTGGGCCAGCAGAAGAAAAGAGCTCCTCTGGAAAAACAGCAAGTGGCATATTGAGGCCCTGGCATGGGAGGCTGCAGTGGCTTCCACATAGGCTTTAGCAGCAGCCTCCAAGACCAAGGTTGTAGCTGTGGTCTGGGCAGGGTTGATGGTCCCAGAGCCCACAGAGTCAAGGGAGATTACAAGAAGTGTTCCCTGCCACCAAGCTGGGTTGCCTAGTCCAGGACATGAAGATCAAATCCCTGGAGATCTAGTTCTTCTCCCTGCCCATCAAGGAGTCTGAGGTCACTGACTTTTTTCCTGGGAGGATGACTCAAGGATGAGGTTTTGAAGATAATGCCTTTGGAGAAGCAGACTCACTCTGGTCAATGTACCAGGTTCAAGAGATTATTTATTTTTTATTTTTTATTTTTTTAGAGAGAGAGAGAGTGAGAGAGGAGAGAGAGAATTTTTTTTTAATATTTATTTTTTAGTTCTCGGCAGACACAACATCTTTGTTGGTATGTGGTGCTGAGGATCGAACCCGGGCTGCACGCATGCCAGGCGAGCGCGCTACCACTTGAGCCACAACCCCAGGCCAAGAGATTAGTTCTTTTCATAGACTACAATGGTCATATCAACCCAGGAGTTAAGGATGCCAAGAAGGCAGCCAGCACTATCTTAGGGGCCATGATGCTGGCTAAACTCTCCATTGTACCTGTGTGGAAAGGCCACTGGGGGAACAAGATTTGAAAACCCCATACTGTCCCTTGCAAGGTGGCAGGATGCTGTGGTTCTGTGCTGGTGCACCTCATCCCTCCTCCGGGGGCACTGGCACCATCTCAGCTTCTGTGCCCAAGAAGCTGCTGCTGATGGCATTATTAATGACTGCTACACTTCTTCCATGGCAGCACTGCCAACAGGGGCAATTTTGCCAAATGCCACCTTTGATGCTATCTCTGAGACCTACATTTATCCGACCCTGGACCTCTGGAAAGAGACTATGTTCACTAAGTCTCTCTCTCAGGAAAAACCACACCAAAGTCTCTCTGCGCAGAGGACTCAGGAACCAGCTATGGATACAACATAGGGTTTTTGTACAAGAAAAATAAAGTGAATCAAACCTGTTTACAAAAAACAAAATACAAAGCAAAAAAAAAAAAAAGAAAAGAAAAAAAAAGAAAAAGAAAGAAAGAAAGAAAAGAAAAGAAAAGAAAGAAAGAAAAAAGAAAAAAGGTGGCTTAGTTGCACTGCACAGCCATATCATTGAGTTTAGAGAAAAAGCCACCTATATCCTGGGATTGCAAGTACATAGGTTCTGGGCTATGAAAATGGATTTCAGATAAAACTAACTTACAGGACTTTGCAGGATCTACATCAGGGAAGTTCTTAGAGCAAGCAGCTGGGTTAGTCCTCTACTCCATGACTTAGGATCCCTGTAAACTCAATATGAGTTTGTCAAGTAAGAAAGCCTCTGGTCCTCAAGGGCAACCTGTGAAGTGCAGCTGTTTCCCTGTATCCCAAAAAGCTCAATGGCAGGTCAGTTTTGTAGCTCCCCCAACTACCCAAAGGGATAGGCTGAAATCACTTCTCAGTGACCCACAAGTGACTTACAAGTTTCTATCTTGCTCCATGCTCTCACCTAAGAAAAAAACTCAGTGTTTCCTAAATAACTTGATAATCAAGTTTCCTCAACAAGGCCACTTATCTTTTAGGTATTTTTTCAGGATAGGTTCGGGTCTAAGGGGCATAGTCAGGTCCCCTTATTTATTTATGTTCCTTCTTCTGTTTTCTCAACCCTTACAGTTACTTAGAGGCAGTGCTTACAATTGGAGCTAGAAGCCAGAGGGTTTATGCCAGTGGCGGGTTGACGTTCATATTCTTCAGTACAATTCTAGTCCCACGTTCAGCGGCTAACTCAGAATGGGACGCAGACCCTTGAGTCCAAGAGAAATAGGAATCTTAGTAAAAGTTGGAGGGTTCATGGCTGTTAATGCCAGCAAAGAGCAAAAACCGAAAATTCAGCCAACCACATCAAAATTTTAAAAATTCCATCATTTTCTATTCTTTGCTGTCTTTTAATCTGCTAGGGGTGGGGTCTTGCAAATTTCAAACCTCGGTCCCTAGGGAGCCTCAGGGGCTGGGAGTGCCGGGGTGCGGCCCTGTCCTGGCGCCCGGCGCGGCGGCGCGCACACCCCTTTTCTGCAGACTCAGGTTTCCAGGCCCCGCCTCCTTCGGGCCCAGCTGATCTCTGCCGCCCATTAGGCCCGAAACCCAGGCGCCCGGAGCCCGACGTCTCCTCTCCGGGGTCCCGGCTCCGACTCCCGACACGCCCAGAGCGCG